TATTAAAATTAAATTACTTAATTAATACAAAACGTTCATTTTCTTTTATAGTTTTTTTTCTATTTTCGATAAATGCAGTTTCCTCATTCCTTCTGTCATGTTCACGTTGAATTTTTTCTTGGTAAGCTATTTGTTCGGTTACTTCAAACGGAACATCTGGTATTATGTAGGCTAATATTCCTTGAACAAGAAACACAATGTGCTAAAATCACAAATTTTTTACCAAACAAAAAATTTAGGAATAGTTATAATACTTCAATTCCTAGCAGGACGGCAAATCTCATAGCAAGCACCCACCAATAGAGGAGAGTTTTTTTTTGTTCATCATTCCTTATTTCGTTATAGACGCAGTTTTCTTCGGTGACTGTATAGTTATAGTAAGTGTACACCGAACTGGTTTTTATTTTTGAAAATTGTTGATTGGAAATCCCTATAAGGGAAGCATTGGTATACATCCGGTATATTTCCTTTGGCACCAAATCACTGTTAAATGCTATCATAGCTGCCTGAGGAAAAAACGACATTTTTTTCTACTGTTTGTCTTAAAATTTCCGGGAAATTGTAATTTAAAACTAAAGAGATTTTAAAATATTTGAAATTTTGTTTTATTCACTCGTCTGGAAAAATATCATTGGTTAATCTCATTTTGGAAGCGAATGTTGCAAATATTGTTTAGCGTAAATGTTATGTCCACAAATCTTAAAAAGCATTGTACTTTCCACATTTGACACCATGGAACTTTTTCCAAAATAAAATTTAATTGCCTTTACCTTTGGAAGAGACAAAAACATATTGAAGAATAAACTTAGCATTAGCGTTTTATTTACAATTTCCTGGTACTTTTTTGACAGAAGGTGTTTATAGTTTTCGTACATTTGTTATGATACCAAAGTATGTAGTGGCTTGTAGTATTTTAGTAAAACACATTAATTTAGGAACTTTTTGGGCATTTGGGCGTCTGTTTAGAGCTATGGTTTTATAGGCAACAGCCCTTAAATGCAGTAGGTTTGTAAGGAATCCACATAGCGGTGCTAGAGGAAAGGAAGAGATGAAAAATGTTACAAATCCATATTCAGCAACTAAAATAAAATTATTTAGTTTAAATTAAATTAAAGTAAAGTTGATGTATTTTGTACCTGTTTCTAAATACTCATGAGCAATTTGGCAACGTTCAGATTTATTTAAGAGATAGTCGTGCTCCCATTGCTTCAGTTCTTCATTTAAAAATTTAGAATTTTTTAGTCTTTTCTTCACAGAAATATAACTTAAAAAATAAATTAAAAGCATTGGTATTACTCGTATACAAGGTTATTAGCGTACGTGGATTTTACCAGATTACTAATTTTTTTCGTGACAGCAAGTTTCTACAGTGAAAATACACAATATGGTGTATCCACACCGAAAAAAAGTAGTTGGATGAAAAACTATTAGCGGCAAGAAATAATATTTTAGCATAAAAGAGTATTTATTGCTTGAAGAAAAAAGTCTCTTGGAAACAAATAAAAAATCTCTTAAATGTGAATTTCAACCAAGTGCAAAATGTTTTTATTCAAAAGCAATGTTTTAATAATTAAGATCAAAAGGCCTATGTGGTGAGAGGAATTTAAGTTTAAAAACTAACAGAAGCTTTTGAATAAAGCAATATATACTATTGGACCAAAAGATATTTGCTCTGAAATCAAAATAAAATGTGGTTTGGTCAATAGTACATGCTTTTGTAGACAAGACAAATTTTCTTTCTTAGAGAGTTCCTAAGCTTCCTTTCAATTAGGAGATGCAGTTTTCTTGTTAAAATTGAGCTAAAAAACGTTTTCTTTATTCAAAAGAAAAATATCTTCCGAAGAAATATTTTTGGTTCTTGTGCCAAGAAATCGCTTGCTCTTGATTTAAGCTTATATTGTAATATCCTTCAACAAATAGATTAATCTCTCCTCTCAAGTGATTTAAAAAAAATTGTAAATATAGTTTCTGATTTGGATTAAGAAACATAGCTCTGGGCCTTATTTAGCACTAAGTAATAAGTTATCCCGCAACTGGTAATGAGCAATAGAGACGGCTTGCTGTCATGATAAAATTAGTGTTCCAGTAAAATTTGCCTCCACTCAAATAGGTCGCCCCAAATAGACAGCAAGTGCTTACACCATATTTGGAGTCCAAATTTTGGGAAACCTGTAACTTTTGAAGAAGAAAAAATTACATACGGGATGACTATTCTAGTGACCATTTTATAGCAGGACCGCACGAACCAAATGGTTAACTGAAGAACTGCCATTTCGAAAGTGCAACTCATTCCTGCGCAGTTGCGGTAGAATGTTTCAGCGACGCGATTGCTAATCTCTACGCCTGGATGATCTAAAGCTCGACCCTTTAAAAAAATAATTGTGATGTATGATTTGTAATATTAAATTTTCTATGAAAAGTAATACCATAATAAAGCCAAAGAACATTAGGGAGCCAAAGTGGTTGATGCAATCCAATAAGTAACATTTGTAAATGTATGAATTATCAAATTCCATTGCAGTTCTTGGTATCTCATACTTGGTTATTATGAAGGATATTTTATAATAAATCTTAAAACAAAGGATACGCATTATTATCAAGTGATTTTCCAAGCGATTTTACATGAGGTTTGCACGTTTATTTTGGTCGATATATTTTTTGGTAATTTTTCGGTAAATTAGTTTTTAAATTAATAATAATAATAATAGTATTTATTAAGCATAGGTTGTCTATAATTAAATTTAACATATATATATGACCAAAAACATTTAGGCAAAAGACAAATATTCCCAAAAACTCATTATAGGGTGTTAAAAATTTTATGAAAAAAAAACACGCTATAATTGCTGCACCCGGTATTTGTAAAAAAGGGGTTTCTATCGGAACACAGTTAGTATACCAACATTGTGAAAGGGGCAACCTATTATTAAAAAAATACGAAGTGTGTTCATAAAATATCGGGAATTTTCGTTTTTTGAAACAAATATTTATTTATTCGTCTACATTAATGTTGTCGCCTTCAAAATAGTCCCCATTGGATATTATGCATATGTGCCAGCTCTTCTTCCAATACTCGAAACACTTCTAAAACTCGATCTTTGGTTCTTTAGTTCTTTCAGCGATGCGCTTTTAATGTCATCTATGCTTGCAAAACGACGACCCTTTAAGGTTCTCTTTATTTTTGGGAATAGGAAAAAGTCAGACAGAGGCCTGTCTGGCGAATATAAAGGCTGGGGTATCATTACAGTATTGTTTTTGGCCAAAAATTTTGTTCAAAATTTAACAATTTTATAACAAATTTTGCTGCCACGCGTTTCATACCCAAAAACATACAAAAAAATTTCATGGGTTGAGCCAATCGATATACCAACATCAGCGACTTCTCTGATGATTTATAACCATTTCTTCCACTTTTTCCATGTTTTTATCGGTTGTTAATGTGCTTGTGCGTTCGGGGTGTTCGTCATCTTCAACGTCTTAACGGCCATCTTGGAAACTCTTATACCACTTGTAAACTCTTGTTTTACCTCTAGCAGACTCACTATGGGCCTTTGTTAACATTTCACAGAATTTATTTCATTTTTTAAGCAAAATTGGATACAAATTCTTTGATCCATTTCTTTTAACGAACGAAAAATCGCCGAGCTCATTAAACACGTCTAACCTTAGCGGCTGCCACAGACAAAGTAAACAATGAAAACAGCTAAACTTTTTATCATACTTCGGGGGCATGTATACCAACATAATAAATAAAATTTTATGACAACCGGACCCTCCGAACCCGCGAAATTTAACAATTCCCCTTATTTTCTGAACACACCTCGTATATATATGTATAATAAAGTTTTATTAAAAATGGGACTTTTATGAAAATGCAAACCTCCAACTTAATATTATACATAACTAAAGGTATACAAACTTGTTGTAAAATAATCATCAAAATGGCAATAATAATATTCGAACAAACTTGTGGAAAAACCTCCAAGAAAATTCCAGCTGGTCTGTATGGAGAATTACCCGACCATAATCTGGTTAAATTCAATCGAAACATCAGCGACATGATTGTTAATACCATCATTACCGCCGCCTAAAAAGGTATTTGTTAACTAAATAATTAAGACACTCAAATAATAATCATTTATAAAATATTCATACCGTACAAACGACAACCAAAACGATAGCGGTTGAATGAATTATCCTAGATGTTAGAGGTACGAATGGTTCCAGGGTACCGGCTACTTCACGGTAATGGGCCCTTTCCTTATATTCCATCCTAGGAAAATATATTTTTAGTTTAATAAAAATACAGGGTGAATCATTTAACTTGAAACTTTGAAATATCTCAGTTAGTAGGTATGCATTTTACGAAAAAATGTTTAAAATCATTCGACTAAAAATAGGTAGATTTTGTCAAAAACATTGTTTCATATTTGTATTAGATATCGCTGTAATGAAAAAAAATCAATTTTGTTCGATTTTTCTTCTATATACGATTCTGCAATAATTTTTCTATAAAAATATCACTTTTTTTGGTAATAATTATCTTATTAAATTAAATCTGAATTTTTTTAAGCACTCACGATTTTTTAACTTATATTTAAGTTTCCTTAGGTTTAAGTTTTATACATTATTTCATTCGGTGATAATTATCAATTGCGCACCATGGTCACTTTTTACCTGCCAGCATTAAATCCTTTAATTTAAAGGGTTATTGTACTATTTTTAATAAAAATACCTCATTTCAGGTAAAAAAAAAAACATTATTTTGTCAATTAATTAATTTAATCCTAATTGAGGTATAAAACAATGGTATTTAGTATACTATATATATATAAATAATAATTATTATTGAAGTATAAAGAAACTATTTATAGTTTAGCATTATTTAATCAATTTAGTTCGAAGATTAATTTGCAAAACAAAAAGACCTCCTTTCGTTAAGCAGTTATTCATAATGGATTTTTTAACAGTGGAAGAAAAAATAGAAATGATTTTGATTTATGGAGGAGCAGGCAGGAATCTTGATGATGCTGTTAATTTCTACCCTCAGCGTTTTCAGGATAAAATTCGATCACGTACTTAATTTCACCGTACAGTCAAGCAGTTTACTACAAACGGGAGTGTTCAACCGAAAAAAAAGAGTTCGACGAGCAACAGTCACAGGTAGAAATAATGAAATTAATTTATTAGCAGCAACGGCCGCTAATCCTCATGCAAGCAGACGAGAATTATCTAGAAATAAAACGAAATGCGAATTAATAAATGCATTTAACTCGAAGGCCACAATTTTTAGCACCTACTTTAATTAAAATTTTAAACAAATAAATAAATTTAAAAAGTAAAACCAAGTATTTTTTTCAAAAATTATTGGAGAATCGTAGAAAAATCGAACAATTTTTTTTTTAATTTTTAGTCGAATGATCCGAATCTGCAATAAAAGATATTGTGTTCCATTGGAAATTTTAAAGTTACCCCCTTTTTCTCCTATAAGGAGGAGAGTATGAGTACCAAGTTTAGTACTGATTGATTTCCCCCTCGATTCATTTAATTTTTATTTTAAACATTTTTTTGTAAAATGCATACTAACTGTTTCAAGTTAAATGACACCCTGTATACAAATATTTAATTTAAATGAAACTTGTTTATAAACTTTTCTAGACACTAATTTAATTAAACACTTGCTGGCATGCTCCCATGCCTAATTAAAATTCGTGACTGACAGTTTTTTTTCAACTTTTTCTACTTCAATATAAATTGTTAATTAAAATTAATGATGAATATGGCGAATTAAATTTTTTCCTAAATTAAAAATACCTTATAAAAAAATTCTTGAAAACCATGAAGCAATACTGAGTTTGAGTTTGAATTAAGCAAGTCAACTTTACCTCATGGACACATCCTTCTCCATACTTTTAACATTCCACTTCATCTGATTGGTGTATTCAATCCTTTTCCACATTTCAATTAAAACGGTTGCTGTTTATATTACGTGGAAATTAAATATTGTAGATACGTTAAAAAAAATACTGAAATGACTTACACCATAGAGAAATAAAAATTGCAAAAATTGTCGAGGCAGTATTATTTAAAACATATGTAGTGTCTAGAATCCAACATAAACTGTTTGCATAAAAATATTTGCCTCTTGAACTTAAAGGGCAAATTAGGCTACCGCTTCGGCAAATTTCTTTACTAAAATGATTTACAATTATCATTATAAAGAACACAGTAGGGATCCTGGGCAATATTTGACATTATAAATGAGTTATAGGACAATATTATAGACAACAATAATAAAACTATTTGCCATTTATCAGTTGTGCCTTAAAAAAGTTGATAATTTTTAACAAATGGTTCATTTTCAAAAAACACCCGCCTTCAGAAAAATGAAGATATATAAATATTTTTTTTGCTTAAATTGACTTTTGGTTGGATTTTTATAAATGTTTAGAGTTTTGTTTACTTACATTTAAGACGGGCAGTGCACTTTTTGATTTTTTTTACGTTTTTTTTATGAAAAATGTGTTTAGCTAGCTTTATATGTCTCCACTGTGTTACCAATTTAAAATCCAAAATTTAATTTAATAAAAAAAGTTGTTATAAAAATAATTTGAAATAAAATGTACTTAGTTCACAAACTTTTGACTCCAATTTTATTTTTTATTAAAAATTGTATGCCTTTTTTAAATATTTATATTATTTAAGTTACTTTTTAAAAGACACCATTCCGATTCTTTGTTAAAAAATAATACCATTAATATTTTCTTTTAGTCACTGTATTAGTGAGTTAAACTCTAATTTATAAACAGGTATTACCAAGTGATAGTAAAATCATTTTAAGGATTTTTTTTAACAAAAACTAAAAAAAGTAACGAAATTATCATTGGTATCACAACGGACTGGGGTACACAAAGGACTTAATCAGATAACGTAAAAAAGAAACTATATAGGGTGGTACGATTTTAGAGTAATGCATAAACAAAATCCCTTGTAGTGGTGCTCACTTGCAGAATAACAACTTAGATTTCTAAATTATAAACACCGTTTTTCTTTCACTATAAAGCTGGTGTATTTTAGAACTTGTATATTGCGTGGAATTTTCCCTTGGATGTAATCTATATCATGAGTTGTAATCACAAATAATTTTAAATTGGTTTATCATAAACTAATTTTAATAAAAGCGACGGTAAATATCCACTTTGTTGTCGAAAAATTCTATTGCGTTACCCTAAATTCCATTGCGTTACCATAAGCCTAGACCACACCAATAGATACGTAACTACCTGAAAACGTTTTGATGCAATAAAGCGCCATCTATTAAATTTGAAGTAATTAAAATGCAACGTTGCCAAAATCGCCCGCCAATATTTAAAAATATATATTATTTTGTAATTGGCAGAGTACAGTGCAAGAACTAGATAACTCAATTTCCACTAAAATGTTTTACATTTTAAAATAGTTAACTGGTTCTTGCACTGAACAAGGCTTTACATTGCTTTTTTTCCAAATTGTAAAATGGCTCTTAAAATACATTTATATTTAAATATAATCATTGTTAGGTCATAAATGAAATAATTAAAATATTTTAACATATATTTTTCAATATAAATATTACATAAACAGTACAAATAATAAACATAAAATAAATAATTCAGGAGTGAGTGGTCAAAAACAAATTTATCCATTTGATCAAATTTTCAGGGGAGCGTAAAAACATAAAAATACATTAAATTGTTGTTATATAAGACATCCTGTTAGTTTTTCTAACATGCCTATAGGCAGTAAGCCACTGTATTCAGAAACCTTTTAGAATTTGTAGAATTGAATTTAGAGAACAAACATGTTTGGTTATGACCAAATTTCTTTAAGATGATTATTTTTAAGTCCCATTTAAAATAATGGTCTTTGACCACTTTTAAAGTGGTTATATGTATGTGTGAATGATCCTCCTCTACAATGATCACTACTTAAGTAGTAATAATTATTTGCCAGAAGTGGACAAATTTGGTTTTGATTAAAAGCTCCTCAATTAAACCGTACAAAACATAATTATATAATAAAATCCTATTTTGATTTACATAAATATTGAACATAAAAAACATAACAATTAAATAAAAAAGTAGATGCGTTTCACTATATATACATTAAAATAACTTGCATTGGTCAAAATTGATTAACTTGAAAATATTTTTAAAGCCAGTTTCCTGTCTGTCATGAGAATTTTATATTATTAATTTGTTTAATAAAATTAAACAAATATACTTTAAATTTTTTAGTATTGTATTCTCTTTTTAAAATGTTTTTTTAAAGCCAGTGCCCTGGCTTTATGAAAGAGCTCTGGAGCTTTTTTATTTAACTTTCTACTGTCTTTTGAATTTAAAATATTATTTATTTGTTTTATAAAATTAAACAAATTTACTTTGGTAAATTTTAAAAGTATAATCTTATTGAGGTGGCTATGGTTATTGTAAGTAAAATTTTTGCTCCTCAAGGATTTTAAAATGTTCATAACCAAATTCTTGGCTGAAATATGTTGCCCAAAGTAAGGCAATTGCAATTTTTCTATAGTTTTGCAATACTATTTTTACAAAATTTAGTTCTGACAGACAAAAGCAGGCAATAAAAATAATAATATTAACTTATATTTAAAAATATATAGATTTTCATGCAGAAAACACCACTGCAAAATTACATACTAATTTTAATGAAACCAAGCTATACCTGGTAATAATAATGTTGGGTAAGCCAGACGACCAAGTCTTTTATTACGTAAAAAGTCCTCCTGAATAAAATGCTTTGAACACACTCTGCAGTTTGTAAAAATTTTTGGTGTCATCTCAAGAAGTCTTTTATTGGCACATAACTTAACCCATTTATTAAACAAGTCGATGTTCTTTGAAGGATTTGGAAAGGAATGTTTAGATTCCTTAGATCCCCAACAACTTTCAACAGCACAATATATAGCAACCATCTGTAATAACAAAGTTTTAAAACAAGAATTAAACAAGAATAAAAAACATACTTACCTTTCAAGATGTAAAAAATAAAATAAAATATAAAAATAATATAAAAATATAATAATATTGGAATTAAGCACTAATTTAACACACGTTCAAGTTTATTAAACCAACTTATATTTAAGACACTTGTTTCACATACATTAAAAACAGAGCATATATGATTAATATAATATTTTAAAGATGAGTGACAGCTGTTTATGAATTAATTAAAAAGGTTAAAGCTGTTTATTAGTTGCGGGGTTGCTACATCGTCATTGACCAAAACGCCGTCTAAAATGAAGAAACTATATTATGATACAAGGCCATCCATTAGAGTAGATTATCTATTGGTGTGGTCTAGGACCATAAGGTAACGTAATGGACTCGGTAACGCAGTGGACAAAGTTTTGTGAAACCTTATTTAAAAAATAATAAAAACATTACAGTCATTAATTACTCTCAATGAGCTTTAGTGCCCTAAAATAAATATAAACATGAAAAATAGTATTTTTTTTACCTTATTTTTATTATTTTTTTGAGTAAGTGGACAAACAATTATTACATTCGCGTTACCCGCACCTGTTTCAACCGATATCTTCTTCCTGATTAAATAAATAAATTCAGCTGGGTAATGTGTACGTCCGAACATCATTTGTTAATCACGTGGGTGCCAAAAAAGTTGCCATATATATGTTTTTTTTTTAATATTCTATCGGTAACGCGACGGACGTAACGCAGCGGAAAAAATGTCTGGGACATGAGTCAAATTTAAAAAAAAGTAGATTAAAATTAATTAATTTATATATAAATTGTTTACTTTATTATCTAAGGATGTTATGGATTGCTATAAAGCAACACAAAGCTCTGGTTATTCAATATTAAAAAAAAAACATGGATGTAAGTTTTATAAAACGCTAATGGGACATAAAAAATGTGTGTTTCACAAGTTTAAAAATTAAAAAAAAATTATTCTGAAATAAATAAACAAACATTTTCTGAAAGAGTTTACTAAGGGCTTGTTAGGCTTTCACTTAGTTTTTAAATCAATAAGATCCGATAATTTTTAACAAAGTTATTGGAATTCAAACTTATGGACAGCGGAAGACTTGTGTTTTTTGAAAACGACCCAAATATATATTGTCCATACTCTCACAACAAAATACGTCAAAATTTAACCAAGACATCTCGAACAATGACCATATGATGTCAATACTTTACCTTAGCATATTTTCCTTGGATTCCTTGGAAGCAAATCCATAAATAATCACAATTAAACTGAAAATAGCAGGTATAAGGAGCATGATTGTGTACAGACGCAGCCACTTGAAATAAAACGCATATTCCGTTCCAAAATACTTCTCGATGACATTGTTCGGTTGTTCCTTGTACCAACGCTTGGGCCTCGCCCAAAACTCATAGAGCAACTATAATTTCATATATGAGCGTTTTGTAATTACTTAAAACAATTTACCTGTCTATCTGATAGTGGTCCGCTCTGAGTCCACTTGTATGTTCCAGTATGAAGAGGATAAGCTGCTTCCAGACTACCACTCTTAATTAGGGAATTTATCCCGTACATGGTAATGGCCTCGCCATATCTAGTTTTGTTTAATATTTCGTTGACCAAGTATATTTTCTCTGCAGATGTAAATCCCGTCGGTTTGTCTCCTCGAAAAGTTTCTCTGAAATTTTTTTTTTTGTATTAAAGGGAAGAGATTCAGTGTTGATAACCCTGGTCAACAGTAAATGCTACCGACTAGACATAAACTTTTCTAAGATAATATAACCCAGGATTGTCGGATTGGTAAACTAAGTTATGGGTCATTCCATAACAAATGATACTGAAGGTGAAAAAGAGGTGTGACTGCTTTTCCGATGGTGCACTGTTTAATATTTTGTGGTGTGAAAAATAATATTAAAATGGTGTCAAAATCGAACACCAATTGGTGTTAATATAAAACCATGAATTATGGTTGAAAATGTTTTATACAGCAAACACCAAAACGGTGTTTATCTAAAAATATTTGAGAAATGCACCTACACAGAAAAAAAGGACTAGTTCATTTAACTATATTAATTTAGTTGACCCATAAGTATTTATTTAAATCAAATGTGGGAAGGTTAATATAAACAAAGATTAGTTTGACGGTACTAAACCAGGTAGTTATTTTTTTTATTTGGTCAAATTAACCCAGAAAACTTTAGTGAAACCAACCCGCTGTATGGTTCAGTTTACTAAATATGTTGTTTGTAAAATAAGAGTTGCTTCAACCTAAAGCACTCTGTTAAAAGGATTAAAACAGTGTAGTGTGTACCGATCGCGGCAAAGGCGGTGTGGATCACGTGATGTTTTTAAATCTCGCCTCTGTTGACTTACATGAAGAGTATATAAGCTCAGGTAGTCCTTTGCTTTGGTGTGACACTACAAGTTGTTCGATACTAAAGAGACCTTAAATAGGTGGAAACAGCTGTCAATATTTAAAGTATTTTAAGTTGGTGAAACGCACTAAAAACATTATCTCTAGCGAGTTAAAGGTTCAATTTTCTGGAATAATACCACTGGTAATATACTTGTAATGCGTCAAGGAACTTCCTGTTTCCTTTTTTTTCTTTTTTTCTGTGTAGTATGATTTAATTTGACCAAAAACACATTATATTTAACACTGAAAAGGAGTTCAATTTACACAAGGTAAAATTTATTTTAATACTGTGTGAAAGTTAAATTTACACCATTTTAGTATTTGAATTTACACTGGACCAACGAACCATATTTAACACCATTTTGGTTTGTATCGATATAGACCATGTATGGTGTTTATTTGGTGTTAAAATGGTCATTTAATTTTGAACAGTGTAGATGGTTAGTAAATATTATACTTTTGGAGGCCTGTAATATTTAGTTTCCCTAAGAAATTTTGCTGAATTTTAAATAAATGTAACAATGGTCAGGACATAGAGGCAGAATCGTGAAACACCCGAAACGCACACTTTTTGACTTAAAAAATCCTTATCCTATATGCTAAACTGTACTAATTTTACAATTTAGATAGGACAAATAAAAACGTAAAGAATAAAGCACTTTAATTGCTAAAATATTATTTTAAAATGTATACTTTGGTTGAACAAATGTAACACCCGAAACGATGGAATGACCCTTATGTGTAGGTATAAGAAATGATTTCCTTTAAAACGTATGTTATTAACGTAATAAAATTACTTACTCTGCTCGAAGGTAAAGTTCACTATTTATATCTGGATCAGTTAAAAATGTCTTTAAAAACCGAAAGTAGGATTTTCGAAATTTGTATAAAACGCTGTCCATGGTCAGGTTGATTTTAAAAGCGATGGCATAGTCCATCATATTTTCTTCTTTAAAATGTAGCAAAACAAACCGTGTGTCATTATTGCGCTAAAATCAAAATTATTAAAAAATGAAACCTGTATTATAATAGGCTTACAGAGAATATGTGGGACTCATAATCAAAGCCAATTTTTTGTAAATTATGAACGAATGTTTCCAATAGGGTTACTCTTGAAGAGCCTTTTAATTTGTTTCTGCTATACACCAGGACATAATCTATGGACCTTATACCATCTTCGAAAAATAAACTTGGATTATCCATATATGGATAGAAGATATTCTTAATTCTTAATTTGATATTTTAAAATGACATTTGTTGTTTAACATCAAAATAATAATGAAGTATAACAAATTAACTGGTGATGATTGTCTTTTTTTATTATTTAGTCTACTGCCGTTCTATCGTTTAATTTGTCCCTAAAATATGCGTTTAACTGTAGAAATATTTATAAAAAAATTAATAACCCATCAACATAATAATGTTATTATAAAATTATAAACTTTTTTTCAAAGAAATAAAAAAAATTTAAAATGATATAAAATCTGTATGATTTGGATTTTAAATAAAATTTAAAATTTGTCGATAAACTATGGTAAATTATAAATTGCACCAATTAAATTTATTAACTTCAACAAACTTCAATGTAAATTCTGCTTGCGCAGAACTTGTTTATTTAATGTCATTATAAACTCATATAAATTTAGTAAGGGGCTCATATCTAACACGGTGGTCAAAACTTAGGACGAACAAAAATGCCAACCAAAACTGATAGCATATTTTGATTATAGACCCTTTTGGTAACACTAACATGTATTATGAAAATCCCAGCTGATCCTATTTTAAAGTTTTGCAAACTTTTTTGTTTTTCTATTTCTATATATTATTTTGCAATTATTGTACTAAAACTACTTGTTCAATTTTAATAAAATTAAGCAAAATAATAAACTTTGTATAATTTAAATTACTTTACTCCGCAGTATTAATTTATTGAGTCACCTAATATTTTTTACCACTCAAAACAAAACATTACAAAAAAACGAAGATTTATATCTTAAATATTTTTTATAAAAAAAAATACTGGAAGTTTATCTATGAAATAATTACAACTTGCAAATTTTGTAAAACAATAATTAAGGTGGTTATGAAAAAAATTGCTATACGTTATAACGCAAGTGACATTTTGCTTAAGTTGTTTATTTAATGTATACTTTATAAAGTAAAAAATAGTATTTTAAAATGAAAATTAAACCGAAATTCAAGTTAGGCCATGAAGAAAATCGAAAGAAGGTATGTGCTGGCTGTGGAGACAAAATTGTTTTTGGTAATCGAAAAATTCAGAGTTTACGGTTTCTGAGAAAATATAAAAATTACTGCAGACTTTTTTAAACGAAAACTTTAACTTAAGTGATTCAAAATTACCTACTTCAATATGGTAAAAACGGTATTTTTCCATGCCAAATTGCCAAATTTTGAAAATTTAGAAATTGCTAGAGAATTTCGCGACAGCCAAGAATGTATGTGCTTTATCTGCAAAATGGCAACATATAAAGGGCATAAAAAATTATTAAGGAAGAGGACGGACGAACGAACAGTTTTGATATGCTCTTCCTTTCTAGGGGATATCGCTAGATGTAAGAAGCATGTTTGTACAGAAACTGAAGAATTTAAAAATACTGTTTCCATGTTAAAAACAATTCCATGTAAAACCGAAGAAAAAGTTTTACTGAAAATTTAAGGCAAGCAGTAATCGATTTTGCTTCAAAGAATCTTTAGTTATTTATTAGTTGTGTATTAGATACCTTAAAACAATAAATAAGATATTGCAAACTGTATTTTACATTATTTTGTATTTTTAATGTAATTTATCCATATTTCAGTCATGTATCTACCAAATTTTTAAAAACATTTGATAATGGTACTAGAGTATTTTATCGAAATAGCATAAATAATTTTAAAATACTAAGAAATATGCAAAACTTTAATAAAGGATCAGATGGGATTTTGATAAATACATTTTTGTGTTACCAAAAGAGTCTATAATCAGATTATGCTATCAGTTTTGGTTGGCATTTTTGTTCGTCCTATACTTAAATGACCACCGTGCTAATAATTGAGATATCGCTATACCCAAAATCTACCAGCCGCTGATTGTAAGTGGGAAATGTTTTGATTGACTGCCTGAAATTACGTGTACTTTTTTAACGAAATAATTTGTTAAACATTAAGATAATAATAGTCTAATACTATTATGAACCAATTCTTCACTACTTGCCATGGAAGATTTTACCATCGACCTAAATTGGTCTGATTGGTTCATTCATGGCACTCTGGACCCGTCTTTATTATTAGGGTTTCTAATTTTCCATTTGGATATGACTTGGTGACCATTGTGTATTCTATCCAGATAATTGGGCATTAGAATTTTGGAAATCTTCATTAGTGTATCGCCCGTAACCGGGACAAAAAAATTCGACAATCTTAAAGCTGCACTGACTGATAAGAAAGTAAATTGATATGAACAAAGTAGGAAGTAAAAAATCTTAGAAGTTATCTCTTGAATATTATATCATTTTTAGACTTTTATGTTTAAATCTCCAACCATATTTTTTTTGGATAACAGTTTCTTGATAACAAATTTCAAATATATATGGTCAAATATTTAAATTAATACTTGGTATTTAAACGCATGATTTATTTGACCATATCAAAATCAAAATAGTTTTTATAACATACATCCAAAAACAAGTAAAAAGATGTTAAAAAATATAAACCAATATATTGAATTTATCGTAAAACTAAAATTATTTAATTAACACAAATCGTTCAGTTTCTCTAACACTTTTCTTTCTATTAATATTGAAGGAAAATTCCGTTTCCCTCCGATCACTTTGAATTTTCTTCTGGTGGGCTATTTGTTCCTGAACTGAATACGGAACATCTGGTATCATGTAAGCTACAAATCCTTGGACGAGAAAAACTATGTGCTAAAATAGAAAAAAGTTTTTACCGAAGCAAAAGTTCGATAATAGTTGTGATACTTCAATTCCCAGTAGAACGGCAAATCTAATAGCGAGTATCCACCAATAGAGAAGAGTTTTATTCTGGTTGTCATCCCTTATTTGGTTATAGTAGCAAGTTTCTTCGTTAGCTTTGTACTTATAGAAACTATAAACAGTACTGGTGGGTATTTTTGAAAATTGTTGATGGGAAATTCCTTCAAGAGAAGCGTTGTAGTACATCCGGTAGATTTCTTTTGGTACCAGATCACTGTTAAATGCTATCATAGCTGCCTGATAAAAAATACGATACATATTTTTGTATTTTACATTGTTTAAAAATCATCCGGAAATTGCAATTTAAAACTTTTATTCACGTTTGGATCTGTCAAATATTTTGCGAGTAATAATGGAATAAATTGTGGAAATTTTATTTGCATAATATCTTTGGCCAATTTTCGTTATATTTACAATTTCCAGGTACAGAATGTGTGTATAGTTACGTACATTTGTTAGGATACCAAAGTATGTAGTGGCTTGTAGTAATTTTGTGAAGCATATTAATTTAGGTACTTTTTTGGCATTTGGACGCCTATATAAAGTTATGCTTTTATACGCATCAATCCTTAAATGCATTATGTTTGTAAGGAATCCACATAGCGGTGCTAGAGGAAAGGAGGAGATAAAAAATGTAACATATCCATATTCAGCAACTAAAATAAAATTATTTAGTTAAAATTAAGTAAAGTTTGTTTATTTAGCACCTGTATCCAAATACTCATGAGCAATTCGGTAACGTTCAGATTTATTTAAAAGATAGTCCGACTCCCATTGTCTAAGTTTTTGATTTGGAAATTTTGAATCATGTTGTTTTTGTCTTTTCTTCACATTTAAATAGCTTGAAAAATTAATTAAAAGAATTGTTATTACTTGTATAAAGAGTTGCACATGCATTTAATCAGATCCCAAATGCTCCAACCTATCTAATATTTAGATCCAAACTTTGCAATTTGATCCCTACCCACAACCCAGTTATAAAGTAGATCAACAGTGCTCACACCCTTTTTGAACACCGTCATATTAAAAAAAATAACATACGGGATAATTAATTTGGTGAACATTTTAAAACAGGACCGGACGAACCATATCGTTAACTGAAGAACTGCCATTTCGAATGTGCAACTCAATCCTGCACAGTTACGGTAGAATGCTTCGGAGACGGGATTACTAATCACTACGCCTGGGTGATCTAAAGCTCTACCCTTTAAAAAAAATGTGATTTATGATGTGTAATATAACATTTTCTATAAAACCTTATACCATGATGAAGCCAAAGAACATTAAGGAACCAAAGTGGTTAATGCAATCCAATATGTAACATTTATAAATGTACGAACTGTCAAACTCCATTTCAGTTCTTGGCATCTCGTAATTGGTTATCTTGAGGCATATTTTATAATAAATCTAAAAACATTATTATTATAATGATTATAAATTACACACGACTACAAAATAAAATCGATGAAAGGTTCCTTTGACCAGACCCAACACGTCAGGTTTTTATACCGACCTTAAAAAATTGCTAAACAATGGCAAAACTTAACAATATCAACCCTACACCTAATCACACCTCATAACCATATACCATATATATATATATATTCAGTTGGCTTATGGGACATCTTAGTTTGGATGTAAGGGTGGAACTAAAAGAGCACTTTATAACTTTATATATATATATATATATAGTAAAAGCATACTAAAAATATCAGTTCACTAAGTAAATTAAACACATCCAAAGCAATCAAATCAAATATAAAATATTATAAAAATTAAAAGAAATAATTTTTATCACCATTTATGTAGGTGTTACAAAAATCGATTCTATCCTCCGTGAATCTGTTTTTGCTTTAAATTTTTTGCAACGGATGGCGCTTTAATCATGTTAAATAAGCAAAAACCTCTGTTTACGACATTATAGATGCATGTGATTCCTGAAGGTCAGTTACAATTTATATGCAGATGAGAGTGTTGCTGTTTTATTATTCAAAAGTTTAAGTTCATTAATTTGCCATTTAAAAACCTATCCACCGTGAAGTGTAATATCTCAGTAAGTAGATTTTTTTTTATAAATATTTTATGTGTGTATAATTGTATGTTTAAAAAATATTAAGGTGTAAAAAGATACAATAAATTACTTTAAATATACAAAGGGATGTTTAAAAAAAATTATTCGAAATCCTCCGTGAAGCTCTAATATTCAAAATGTGTAATATCTTAAAATTCTTGCATTAGTGCAGAACCACCTATGTTATGTTATTACTAGACCTGGTGGCTTCCCAAAAATCCCATTCTAGACTAACAGTGAAACAACCAAAAAAATAATCATTTCACTTGGGGGACATCTCAATATATTCACCTATTCTGATGGAATCTTTTACCCAGCTCTTCACTAAAATCACCTAAATTTTTAAAAAGTAATCAATAAGTAAATAAATGAAGATTTATTTGGCAACCCAAGTTTTTTTATTTCTTACCATATTTTTAAAAATATTTAACTTTTGTATTCGATAGACATTTTTTTCTAATTTACCAGGCTGCTTTATTTACCTAAGTCTTTTTTTAAATTCAGTATCTGTGACAATTTTTTGAGGTTAGGACAAAAGTCCATAGAAAAACCTGACGTGTTGGGTCAAAACGGGTTTTTGATTTAGTGAAATGAATTTTTTATCAATTTTAGTTTGTGGTCCTGTGTTATAGGTGATATTTTTGCCAATTTTTTGGAGTTTGCACTTTTTGAAAATGTTCATAAAACTGTAAAAGTTTGGACAATATTTTAGTTTTAGTGCAAAAATATACCCAAGAGTATATTTTTTATTGTATAGATTATGACTATGTGTATACAATATTGTTAGATTTAAAATTATTTTAATTAAGGTACCTATATATATTATATAAAATTAGATTTTTAATAAAAAATATAAAATAGTTTGGAATCAATCTGTATTTTATTTAAATTAATTATTCTTATTACTTTATTGCGGGTTGTATATCAAGTTTCCCTTTACATCTGGCAACATTGCTTCAAATTTGACAATTAAAAATGACATAATTATAGCATGTTTAAATTTTAATTCAAAAAAGTGCAAACCGATTTAATAAAAAACTTATACAAACTGGTTGCAAAACAATAATCATAATGGCAACCACAAAATTCACAGCAACTTGTGGGAAAACCTCCAAGAAAATTCCTGGCGGCCTATATGAAGAGTAACCGGACCATGTTCTAGATAAATTCAATCTAAGTAGAAGTAACAAAAGTGTTACAATCAATAAAACAACTCCCTAAAATCGTATTGATTGACTTTTTAATTTAAACACTTAAATAATAACCATACCATACATAAGACAGTCAAAATTGTGATGGTGGTACGGAACAGCCTAGATATTAGAGGTGTAAATGGTTCTAATTTACCGGTGTCATATACTTCACGGTAATGAGCTCTTTCCTTATATTCCATCCTAAGTACATAAATGTTTGTTGAATCAGAATATATAGGTCTATCCAAACGTTTTTAATGTGCTGAATTGGAATTCGATTTTAGAATTGCTCCAACACGTCAAGTTTTTAAAAAATTATAGTTTGAATTTTAATTTGGCACGTCAAATCCGAAATATGGTCTTTAATAGATAAACCTTACCTTATGGACACATTTTGACCCATATTTTTAACATTCCACTTCATCTGACTAGTGGATTCCACCCTTTTCCACATTTCATTTAAAATGGTTGCTGGTAAATATTACGTGAAAATTAAATATAGTACATTAAAAAAATACTAAAATGACTTACACCATAAGGAAATTGAAATTGCTAGAACGATTGAGGCAGTATTATTAAAAACATATGTCATTTTAAAAATCCAACAAAGACTGTTTGCATAAAAATATTTGGCTCTTGAACTCAATGGGCAGATGAGTCGATCGCTATCGCAAATTTCTTTACTAAAATCATTTAAAATTATCATTATAAATAATATAGTGTTTAGTTATTACACAGAGAAAAAGCTTCTATATCGTGAATGGGTTAACCATTGAGCCAATGGTGTACTGTATTTGGAATACCTGAATTACAGTTATGATCAAATAAATGATTACCTTACATTTATTTCTGCAAACCTGCTTAAAACTAGTGCAAACATAAGAAGTCATTGAATTAAATTGTTATTTAATTGAAGCCACAATGAATTTTAATAAAAAACTATTATTGGCATAAATTAAAGTTATGGTTTCTAATGAGGGCTACATTAAATTCAATCAAAGCTCTAATTCCTTTAAGTATGTATATTCTTGGACAAATATTAGTTGTATAATACATTAATATGAACTTTAAATAAAATGAATAAATGAAAACTGCTTTGGTGGTCTTGTGTTCACAGGTTTTTTGATCCATAAAATGAAATTGTTCTGTTTTCTGTATGAACTATTAGGAACCCACTAGAAGTGTTGGTGATATTGGGCTCTAAAAAAGTTGCTGACCCATCCCTAGCAACAGTTACTGTATATGTGCATGATCTGTCTGCCATGGCACATGGTTATTCTAAAACGAAATAGGAATTATATCTTATGTATTTAGACGCGAATCCTAAAGATTGCTGAAAGTCCTAAAGCAATATATACTTTCAGGACGCCCTGCAAGGATATCATGAAGGTACTGAAAGACTATGATAAGTTTTTTTTTTTTAATAAATAAAAACTTCGTCCATTTAAGACAAAAACCCGAATATCAAGATAAACTGTGTCCATGGTATATACCTATATGAGTACACATTTACCTTTTTTTTACCATTTAGATATAATTAAGTAATTAAATTACTGGATAATGCATGGCGGACATACAATTAAAAAACATGTACAACTTACCTTGAAAATTCTGGATTAGGGATTACAACCAAAGATAATATAAGATATTATCTTTTATTACAACCCCCAAAAAATTAGCAAATATAACAAACAACCAAACACTACCTACACCAGAGATAACCCATAAACTTACATCAATCGGCGTCACCAGAAATACCGATAATAATAATAATAATAATCATTAAATTAAATATAGGCCGCATTGAAAAAATGGGAATGATAATTAGGCAAATAACAAGTATTTTTCAAGACAGTGAAAACATTGTATTCACTGTAGTTTCCATTGGAATAAAAATCATGAACAATAAAAGAAACAAAGACTATTTTTGTTTTATTGGTTTTTAATTTTTTGTTAAAGCATTATAATTTTTAATATAAATCAATTTTATATTTAATTAAATATTGTTAATTTTACCTTGATCTGATAAACTTTAAATACAATCATTTCTAACATTTTCAAGTACACATTTCCATTAGATTTAAATATAAAGATCCATTCACACTATAACAAGTAATTTTAACTTGATAATATTTTGTTATGGGCTGAATATAATATTTGTAATAACATCAATCCCTTTCCCTTAATTGCTCCAAACATATTTTATTGAAGAAATGAAAAAACAATCAATATTAGCATTGTTATTGACTATATTAAACCGTTTTTTCTGTGTACACTGTACATGATAGCAATACTTTACCTTAGCATATTATCTCTGGAGTCTAAGAATGCAAACCCATATATAATAACAATTAAACTGAAAATAGCAGGAATAATGAGCATGCACGTATATAAAATCCTCCACTTGTAATAAAACGCATATTCAGTTCCAAAATACTTTTCGATAACATTGTTTGGTTGCTCTTTAAACCAACGCTTGGGCCTCGCCCAAAACTCGTAGAGCAACTATAATTTCATAAATATAAGCGTTTTGTTAATCACTTAACGAATTTACCTGTCTATCGGATAATGGTCCGCTGACGGTCCACTTGTATGTTCCCGAATGAAGAGGATAAGCTGCTTCCAGACTACCACTCTTAATTAGGGAATTTATTCCGTACATTTTGGTGCCTTCGCCAAATCTAGTTTGGTTCAATATTTCGTGGACCAGGTATACTTTCTCTGCAGATGTAAATGTCACTGGTTTGTCTCCTCGAAAAGTGTCTCTGAAATATATTGATAACATTGGTCAGCATCAAATTCTTTTCTAGGATAAATTGATGAAGACCAAATCAAATACTACCATCATAAATAAGAAGAAAAATTTAATTATATACAGGGTGTCCCAGAACTCGCGCCACATAGAAAACCGGAACGTGCCGAAAGTAACGTGAAACACATATTTGAAAATTAAAATTGTCTAACGCAAAGGATAAGCGAGATAAGAATAAAAAACGATAGCCAATCCCAATAGATGGCCATAGAAAATTCTTTAAATTGCTAGGATACTTAGGTTGCATTGTTGATAATAAAAAATATGTAAAATATTTGGTCCACTGGAATCCAATTCATTGGGACACTGCTGTCAAACTCCTGTCATTAATATTATATTAGGTTATAAATTAAGTTATTATAAATAATGTTAAGATGATTATAACGAAATGATAATTATTTATTTATTTAGTGTGGGCTCAACGCCAGGGAGACAACGCGAGTTTTTTCCCAGCCCTTTCCTAATCGTTATTTTAAAACATTGGCGTTCTGAAGTATAAGTCATAGATTAATAACCTCATTTTTGAAAGCTTTTGACAACTTAGTAAATACAGTTGGCCAAAAGATTTTTAAATGTTTTTAATACAACAATGTTCTATCGTCTCCTAGCAATTTTTAAAGCTCTTACGTTTAACCTAGGCGAGAGCTCTCGGTATTGGCTGCCGCTTTTTTGCTCTCATTCGATTACACTATTACCTAGAAATTTTTTATTTTTAAATTTGGCATCTCCATTGCTATCGGCACGCCCCCTTTTTCTCTGTGGCGCGAGTTCTGGGACACCCTGTATATATTAAGTCATTATGTGGCTTACTCGGCTCGAAGGTAAAGTTCATTATACTTGTCTGGATCAGTTAAAAATGTTTCTGTAAAACGTGAGAGGGATTTTCGAAATTTGTATAAAACGCTATTCCTGGTCAGATCGATTTTAAAATAGATGGCATAATCCATCATATCCTCCTCTTTAAGATTCAGCAAAACAAAGTGGATGTCGTCATTGGTCTAAAATCAAAATATATTAAATATAAAAATTTATATCAGAAACTTGCAGAGGATATGTGGGGTTCAATTTCCAAGCCAATCTTTTGTAAATTTTGAATGAATGTTTCCAATAGTGTTACTCTTGAAGAGTTTTTTAATTTTTTTCTGTTATACACCAGGACATAATCAATGGATCTTATGCCATCTTCAAAGAATAAATCAGGATTATCCATATCTATTTAATTGGATATTTCAAAATGACTTTTGTTATTGAACGTCAAAATAATAATGAAGTTTTGTTTTTTGGTGGTATCATTTTTTATACTTATGAGGTGAAAGGTTCGACTTAAGCTGCTTAAAATAATAGTTATTTATGGTACTAGTGTGTTATGTTGAAAATAAGTCACGCGAGAAAGATTCAGCAAATGTTTAAGTAAATTTTGACACTTGTCAGTTTTCCCTGCAGAAAAGGATAGCTTTTTTGAATAAAAAAACGTATAGAAAATGAAAGAAACCGATGAAAATTACGTTCCTGAGGATATCCTTAAGGAAGCGGAAGAAGCAGCGATGCAGATTTTGCCAGAAAAGTTCCGAGATGCTTACGACAAGGAGTTCAAAATTTTTGAGTCTTGGATGAATTCACGGAAGATAAAAGGTATCGATGAAAATGTTCTATTGGCTTATTTTTTACATTTGCAAAAAAATAGCTTCATCGTCGCTATGGACCAAATACTCAATGCTTTGCTTTATAAAAAAATCGACATTTCAAAGTATGTCAAATTAACGAGCTTTTTGAAAAGCAAATCACAGGAATACAAACCAAAGAAGTCCAAGACATTAGAACGACCTGAAATAGAGAAGTTTTTGAACGAAGCTCCCGACGACGAGTACCTGTTGATGAAAGTGGCTTTGAGAATGGGGATAAGCGGTGCTTGTAGATGGGATGAATTGGTTAATTTGAAAATAGAAAATATTCAAGACAAAGGGAAATATTTTCACGTAGTTCTGCCAGACACTAAAACCAAGAAATTGAGAAGTTTCACCATACTTAAAGAAGGATTTCTAGTCAACCTGATCAATTTGTGTAAAAAATACATGTCTTTGAGACCAAAGAATAGTTCTAGCCGATTTTTATTTTTTACAAAAATGGGAGGCGTACCAGCCAGTGTGTGGGAATAAATACGATATCGAAGATACCTTCAAGAGTTGCAATGTTTTTGAAATTAAAGGAATCAGTGCCCTAAACCGGTCACTGCCTGAGAAGGTCTTCGGCAACTCTTTTGGCCAATGCAGCGGCTAACATGACTACTTTGAAGCGTCACGGAGGATGGAAGTCCTCGACGGTAGCAGAAGGATACCTAGAAGAATCGGTGCATAACAAAATACAAATTGCAGAAAAAATACAAGGTTCTAATGCGTCGGCATCTTCCAGCACTATCAGCAGCAGTACCGATATGGGAGCGTCTGGTTCCAATGAACCAACGAATTTTACAATGACTTCAAATTTGAATAAAATAACATTAATAATGACAGTCATAACTGTCATGTATTGGATACATAGAATTACATGTGTCTTGACCTTTTATTTCTTTGGTGTGGCTGTGCACAGCTGTGGTTATAATAATTATAAGAGCAAAAATTAATTACGAAATATAATAGCCAAAATCTTAGTATGTATACGTACATGAATATGGAGCGTTCACACAAGTTAAATTGGATCAAGTATGCATGGATATTCAAGTTTCCTGCGATCTATTTGTTTTTAGCTATACGACCCTACATTGGGGTGACAAGAAATTTGTTTTAGTTGTATTAAGTAGACCCTGTGCATAAGTTACGAATATTTGCTCGCTTTACTGCCTGAATAGTTGAAAACTGCGAATTTAATTAATTTTAGGATTTAATTAACGAACTCAAGCTGTTTTCGCAGTTTTATACCGCTCGCATATTTCCACTCGTTTTCTCTGTCCTCTGCACGTTGGGTCCGTGACAACAAAATAATAACAATAACAATGAAACCGGCCGAGAACTCGCAAAGAATAATAAAAGTTAAAACACTGCGAATTTATTTTTTTTATTCTACCTCACAAAAATACCTCATTTTTAATTAAACCTTCAACAAAAAAATAAACAAAAAACAGGACTAAAATTTAATGTCTGAAGTCAATGTATGTTTAAAGTAACAATTATAACCTAAAAAATGTCAACTTAAGCCTCAAATTAAGCCTTAAAGTACTAAGGAAAACCATTTTACTTCTCTTGTGTAAAAAATAAATCCTATTCTATCAGAGCTGTCTCCAAACTGTCAATAAGTGTCATAAGTGCGTTATGAATTAGAATAAAGTTATCAGAAACATAAGTTGCAGATGCTAAAGTCAGTTGAAAAGATCATTTTTATAAAAATTATTTATTATTATTAAAGATGGGATATTTAGGTACTAAAAACTGAAAAATAGGTAACTAAAAAGGTACTAAAAAAAGAATTTTAGGTAAAAAAACATTAAAAGTTCAAGTTTCGTTTATTTTTATAAAATAAGTAACATACATGTTTTTTTATAAACTGACCAATATATTGTTAACTATAGTTAATTAAAGCTATAAGGAACTGAAAATATAACAGGGAATACCTGATATTTACCAAATTTACTGCTAGAGTAACAAAAAGATAGCTAAAATGTATATAAATTAAAGAAAGATGTTTTAACATAACCTTAAAGTCCTTACAATTTTACAGCAAAATAAGTTTTTTTTCGTCAATAGAAAATATCTTATTCTTCCCCTCTATCCAACTGCTGAGTTTATTTAGAGGATTTTCTTTGGTTTTGGGCATTTTTTATAATTTTGTTTAGCCGCATACCCAAACAAAGAACATATCCACAATAAACTATTTCTATGCAATAAACTGTGTTTCACTGAGTGACACTCACTACACAGAAGTTCTATGACAGAACATAAGCTCACTACAAAGAAGGTAACTGCAAAGAAACTTACTGTTACAGTCTGTGACCATAAGAAAAAATTCTATACCGTTGAGTTGCACGCCCTGAATAAAATATTGGCGCAAAATTTACAAAGAACACAAAATAAAATAAGTAAAAATAGGTAACAAATAGGTGAAAATAAACTGACAAATTAAAAAATATGTAACAAAAATATAAACAGGGAGTTTAAAGCAAAAACCTCCAAAAAAGGTGAAAACAAGTTAAAAAAATAGGTAACAAAAGTATAAAAAAGTAGTTTAAAGCAAAAACCTCCAAAAAAGGTAAAAAAGTTAGGTTCATATAAAAGAAAATCTTTTAAAACACATTTTGGCATTATGGTTTCAAATAGTTACATCGATTGAAAAAAGGTAAAATAACTAAAATCCTATCCCTAATTATTATGTATCTACAAACGCTTCTTTCAGTAATAGCCTTTGCATTAATTATAAAGTAAATATAAGTTATGTTTATAAAAATAACACTCTTTCAGATGCAGAAACGCATTGATAAATATAGTTATTATTATTTGTCAAAAAAAACAGTTATATACTTACCGTTTACAAAAACGGTTTGTAGTATTAATGAAACCCTAATAGTATAAAAATTTTGTAAATTTTACAAATCCCTTTTAAAATAAAACTGTTTTTATAATATTAATAAAATTTAATAAATTTAACAACAAATTAATTGTTAATTCAATAAACTATTTTTATTGTAACAATGGTCATATTTTTAACCTACTATTGGGTGTTGGGTAGTTTTTTTAAATAATAGCAAGGCATTGAAACAAATTATTTACCTATTATAGCAAAGAAATTAACTTATATTATATGATGTTAAAATAAAAAAATAGAAACTCACTTTTTAAACAACAAGTCTGCTTCTTTTATAG